CGATCTCTAGTCTCCTCAAGAAAACCTGAAAACAAAAAGAGAGAGAAATCCTGGTCTACCAGTCAAAGCCTGGAAACGCTTTCCCACTTAATCATAAGTCAATATGAGGCCTCTATGAAAAATGTCGAAGTCGCGTTATTATAATGTTTTTAGGCATGAAAATTATATTTTTTCCTCTTTAAGTTTGACCGCCTGCCTAGCCAAGAGTTTATAATGTCATGAGTGACTAAGTGTTAAAAGGTAATCTCTGATGATCTTCAACCATACAATTTTTTTTAACTTAAAAGGAATCTATAACGCTAAACTATACTCATTCGTCAAAGTGTGTGTGAGGGAGTCCATTTAAATATTTGATAAGATTAAAGACCCCCTTGTAGTACGATCCAGCATGCTTTTCGATCGTCATTGAATTTCGTGGACCATGAAAATCAAAGATTTGTAGAATATAATCTTACTGAGTACTTCTTTCAATCCGTGACAATCAAAAGGTTAAAAAAACTTAAAAAAACGATTCTAGTATTTGTTCTGATCGCTGGACTTTATTTCCATTGATTGGCGAAATATTTATGAGAGAAATCGGATTTTTAAGAACAATGTGATCCAAAGAAAGATGGAGGCCGAAATCCAAAGAAAAAAAGGCAAAAGCTGTAAGAGTTTACAGTTCTACTATAAACAGCGCACGTGAAGAGAGAGAAAACATATAATCGGCTAAAGCAAACTTAACACTATTAAAAATGTTTTTTTTTAATTTTTAAATTTATAACAATGAAAACCGTTTGTTGTGTTGATCTTGCTACACGAATCAACTAATGGCAGCAATGACGGTTGTGATTCGACAGGATCCAAGATTACGTTCTTTTTTTTACCTTGATGCCATGGTTACATTAAAGTATCATTCAGTAAGTTTATATTTCGAATGCTTGCTCGGATTTTCTTCATCAAAGAGTAGCTGAGTGTAAAATATAATTTGTAGGAGAACTCTCTACACATGGACCTTACACGGCATTGCTGTCGATCAGAAATGAAAACAAATTATATTTTTCAATCCATATTCCACAAGTGGCGGCAAGATGTAAAAAAGTTGCAGTAGAATGTGATGTACATATAAGTGCTTATTTTATTGAATAAATTGGTTAAGAATGATATAATAGCTTTCCGTCATCTTCAATTTTTTTATTATATTGTAGTGAAACAACAATAATGCAACGCCAAACGTAAGTGCTCGTAAACAAAATGAACAAATCGCAATGCATGCTGGAAGATTCCAGTGGGTCTTCAATACGAAAAGCTGAGTAATGTCGGCCAAAGAAGAAAAAATACTGAGTCATAACACCTTTAACAGTACATTTACACAATTCTTAGAATAAAGAGAGGGAAGATATAAATTTGTGAAGCGAGAGACAGAGAATAAAAAAAAGATAAATTCAAATATACGTAATCAACAATCTATATAACATTGATGGAAACGTAAGTTAAAATAAAATAAATATATATAAATGCAGGTATAAAATTGTAGTTTAAACTTAATTAGTAAAACATTATAGAGGAATAACTGTGCGTTTACAGCCATTCTATACAATAATATTCTGATATAATATCGATCACGTGTGATGTGAGCATTCTACAGATGTTAGTAGATGTTGATTCAATATGATGCCAGTTTGCGTTGATTAAGTTTAATTGTCCTCGAAGTGTTAACTATTAACTGAATAATGAAGAGATGATTAAGCCCATAAAGAGCTTCAGACGCACATTTACCGACTGCGCAGATTCAAAATTACATTAAAATCTCCGCCATTAATTGTTCATTTAGCAGCTAAGTAGAAAAGTAAGTGCAGTCTGTAAGATCTTAAGAGCAACGCAACATCATAAAGAATTGGAATGATCGTTTGGCTAAAATCGTTGTGCCATGAGTCAAATGATTCGATGTAAGTAAAAAAATAAAAAAATTCGATGTAAGTTTTATACGTCATTGACATGAAAGATTACCGATAGTTGTTTTCTTATCAAGGAAATAATAAGATAACTAATTTAGCTGTCGAGAAACTAGTAGGCGGCCATTTTATTTGGTGCTGAATCGCTGCGGGAATATCTGTTAGAATTTTAACAAAAATAGCCGAGTAAGATTAGTTATTATTACTGATATAGCCGCCATCCTTTTATTAATAAAAATATTTTTGTATGAAAACGTGAGAAAAATTACCTAAATAACAACTAGAATGTTCTGACTAAAAATTGTGAAAATATGCGATTCAATTTTATGCTTTCAAATTTGCGAAAATCAAAATATACCCAAATGGTATTTAATCAGTATCCAAACCATTTTCCCAGAAATCATTTTCCCTGACAATTTTATTAGATATGATTGTATAATGCTGTACAAGTCAGAATGCGTTCTTTCCACCCCCCAATATATCCAATGACGTTTTTGATAAGTTCAAGATGGCGACGTCACTAATAATTGTACAGGGAAAATTGATATTTCGTACGTCTTTGCGACCAAGAGAAAGTGCTGCTAACTTTGGTCAATCGCAATGTAATAAACAAGGTCTTCGATGTTGTACAAAAAAGCTAATCAAACACAATATTTCCGAGAAGGTATAGATGTGAAAGCTTTCGATAAACTTAATTAGATATTTTATACATCGGACAGTATTTTCACCTCAGGAATTGTCAGGGTTTTTTTAATGGCTTTTGTTTAAATCGGTCGTAAATTAATTGAAAGTTTGATTGTTATCACAAGTTAATTGCAGCAAATTTTCTTGAAATCTTATTGGCTTATATTATACATTCTTTTGACCAATCAGAGTAGCGAACATTTGGATTCTTATTGCTATTGTTGCTGTTTTTGTTTTTGCTGTTGTTGTTTTATTTTATTTTAATGGGCTATTACTAAAAACATTGTTTTCCCAGCCAATCAGAATGGGATAGTTAATAACAATTTTGTGTCTATAAATCTATAATCATTATATGACTCAACAACGATGATAATTACAACAATTATCAAACAATTAACTACAACCAAAGCAGCAAAAAAAAAATATTGTACTGATCATAATAGCTATTTCATTACTACTGTCAAATGGTATATATTATATTTTCTTTACCAAGCAGAAAATAGACTGATGATGCTGATGTAGTTAGTAATTTTGTATGGCACCAACTAAGTACGTATAATTTTCATACATCGGTGGTAATGTGCCGTGGCTTATGACATACTTGTAAACAACCAATATTATATATAGTAAGCTTATATGGTACATGCTAGTATGTATGGTACATGCTAGTAGAGTCATATGTCGCTTTTATATATAAAGATTTTTCATTAATTGAACTTTTCAGTTTTATCAGCAAACGAAATCTATTGAAATAAATTTCTTGATTTTACAAAATTTATTAAATTTTTTGTTAAAATTATGACTATTTTTATTAGCCGTCTTAACAGTTTGTTATGACTGCATTTTCCTTTGAGGGTTGTCATGCTTTTTAATTAAAAAGGTTATCGATCTTTTCTTAGCATATAACCTATTCCAATTAATCCTTGCAATTCGCGAATGTTCTTTGTCAACATGCAAAATTGTGCTCCTTCAAGCACTTTTCCTACAAAATAATGTACGGTAAAGGTTTTGTATAAATGCCAATTCTTTGGCATTCTTAAATTTCCTGTGAGGTTTATAATTAAAGTAATAACGAACAGGACCCAAACTGCTGATCATGACTCACTGACAAATTGACGTATTCAGTGTCAGGGCAATAGATATGCAAAAATAACGTTTTTTCGTAGCAGGTTAAACGGCTTTTACATCTGCAAGAAGTGTTTGTGGTTTACTGAAAGGATTTCTAGAAGGTAAACCGTGTAATCCTAAGCCTGTTACAATATTTATTTTTTTGTTATTTAATAAGTTGGTTGACTGTAGCGCGAGAGTTTTTATAGTACCAATGCATTTTTTGAAGCATCTACTTTGAAAGTACTGAGGATTAATATAATGTTGTATTCGCTAATCATTTCATGTGACTAAAGGGGTGTTTTTTAGACCTTAAACTGAAATCTAGTTTACTTAAAATCTTCTTCAGCGTGGTAGCTATCAATTATAGGGCTCCAGGGGTCGACTAAGACGAACTGACCCCGTAATCTTGCATAAAAAATTCACAAGTGGTCTGTGGGCTAACCGAGGAAGATCTAGAGCACCTTTCGTCAAAGGTGTATTCACGAATGATTTTAATAAAGTCAGGGCTGTGTAAAATGTCAAGGAGTTTTGTGGCGGCTTTTTTGGGGGGCGATAGTAACACTGTCTAGCCTGACATAAGCAAACATTTGGAATATAACACAATTAACCGGAGAATATTCGATTATATTGAAAAGGCAAAACTCTTACTAAAGGCTCAGCAGGATATTTTGCCACTTATTTCAGAATAATTTATCCTGTTTTTAAAAGCACTTCTTTAGTCAACACGACCAGCCCACTTCGTCCGGCTTCTTGACGCTCTGGCAAAATCAGTAGTGAACTCCCAAGGTAAACAAGCAGAATTTCATCAGTTCTTAAACAATTCATTATCAGTAGTTAAAACAATCAGATTAAGTATTTTGAACTCCTTTTGATTCAAGGGGTAGCACTTTCGATTGACAAAATAATAATAATTAGTATTTTCGTGGACGCTAAAGATATAGATGCCGCAGTCGCGGGAAAGACGGCCTGTTGAGTACAATTCGTTCATTTGTCATTCGTTTATACTCAATGATACGTGTTTTATTTGCGAATTCAGGCTCGATTTCTTGGCCATTGTTTTATATACTCTTCTTTTATTCATATGTATGTTTTTGACATTATAATTGAAAATCATTGGTCGGAAATCCCTTAATTACAACCGCTTTCGTGTAAAGCTTAATAAGAAAATATAATTCGTTGTAGAGTATAGCGCTGAACAAGTGTACATTCTTTAATGTCCCATTCTACTACTGTAAAAAGTTCAAACTTATGTTAGAGCAGTGTTTTATAACAATGCAGATAAAAGGTATTTTCCTTCGAATTCAGTAGTATTGAATTTGTCACTTCTAATATAAAACCATACATATAAAACATATAGAATTATAATGACAATGTTCTTTTCCTAAATAATGCTTAACACACGCTTTCTTCAACAAATGACATATCCGTAGGCGTTAGTATATGTATGGACACCTGACAGACATCTGCGTGCACTCCCAGTGAAACAGTCTTCCTGCTTACGTAAATTCTATCAGAAAAACAATTTTCTATTGGCAATTTCCAGGGATGGAAAATCTTACATATAAACTAATGTCAAAACCAGAATAGATTTAAAGACATTATTTATTTTAATCTCTATCGGTTTAAAATGGTACTTGGAAAGTTAATTTTGCCTAGAATATATAATTTATATCAATAGTAAATGACATGCTAAAGCTCAAATATCATTGATTGAGCCTAAATTATTGACATTGTATTTTCATGATAAAAACCATATCAAACATGATTGTCATCATGTTATCATCATTATTAGTATATGATTACCATTGTTATTAGAACGTTATTGATCAATATCATAAATCTCTTATCTGATATTATTGATTCATACCAATTCGAATTATTTGTTATAGCGATAAGATGTTTTTGTTTTTTTGGTTTTTGTGTTGTACTTTTTTAAGTAGCGATCTATTAACATAAATAGAGGATATTCATGGACGCGTGGAAATGTTATCTTCTAATAATCAATCTCCAAGTAATGATCATGAAGGCGTGCTGATGATTTCAGCAAACATAGCAATAAAAGTAAACAAATATACACAAAAACATCGGATACATTTGTGACATATCCTTAGTAATCTTGGATATATTATAACATATTCTCTCATTTGCAAACGAAGTCAATTTTTATGGAGAACTATTTTATTTTTTTGTCTTCACACGGGTGGCGTAAAAAGATAGAACACTTATTATCACAGTACCGCTGTGTGGCGGGCTTGAGAATGAGTCATTTGCGTGTTGGTTGTTATGTCGCTCTCTCCCCTTTGCTTCGCTAACGAGACTAAATATGCTCAAGTAGAAAAAAAACGTTGGGTTTTTTTGTGTTTTTTATTCCAAAATTTCATTAAACTTCGATGTGAACCGACTCAAGCAGCGTGAACTGTTGAAAATATCTCTAACGCTTCATTTATGTGTGATTTTTCTTTATGGAATTTCAACCTGTCGTCTTTTTAACAGCATAAGGGTAACATGTCTATAGAAGAGATAAAAAAAATAAATAAACACAATGTGAGATGTGGCAAAGTTAAGCCAGGCAACGATTCTAAAAGAGAAAAGGTATCTCACGATCTCACGAGATTGTCCTAGAACGTGACGATTTTTTAATTATTGAGCGTGTATTATCACCTCAGTAGTTCATCTTATAACCAATTTCAACGTACAAAATTTGGCTTTGAAGGTCTGTTTAGGGCTACAGACGTATACGAGATAACCGAACCTTAAAGTATTTTTGCACTGGTCATTCGGTCAAAGCACCATGATAAATGTGGCATTTCTATTGAGGAACATTCGGGATGTTGATTAGATCAATAATTAATCCTATTATAAGGTAGGGTGCTTTTAACAATTGTCCAGCCGTCAAATCATAGAATATTCCAGTAAGACGAAAACTCTCATATGTTATTTTAGGCGTATCCCATGCTGATGTTTGTTTTGTTGACTTATTAGCAGTGAAGTCATCTGAACTGAAGATTAGGATAGAGCCAAGAACATATTTATTCTAAATATTTCCACGCCATTATTTTTGTATTCTTTATAGTCCGGGCGATAAATATTCAGAAATCACTTAAATAATAATATAGGGTTGTTGTTTTTTTTTTTTTTGTTTTTTTTTTGTTTGTTTGTTTGTTTGTTTGTTTAGTGATGCTCCATCTTGTCTCACCGAGAGAACGGATACAAAATTTTTCACGAAAAGTTAGTGAAAAGTCAGTCAAAACAGCAGTCAAAACATTTTATTCAAATTGTAAAAAAATGACTCCATAATTCTATAAGAATCGATATAACTCCTTTCTTTGTGAGAAGTCCAAACATTTTTAAGGAAAGTGGAATCCTCTTAACTCTCACTCCACACCATACCACCCTCTTAACTCTCACTCCACACCATACCACCCTCTTAACTCTCACTCCA